TTCGGCAGTTATGTGAGGTGAACAACAGTCTTTCTGTGAACAAGTGCGAATGATGTTTCCAGTCTTTTGCCGTTGCCAATGACAATCTGCTATTTTTATAATATATTAGTTTTATTAGAACATATTATTAGTATTTCTGAAGTACAGAACTCCCTTTGGGATTCGGCTTGCTCCCTTGTTTATTACGTACATCACCTCAGTGCAGGGTATTTACATTTATTCAAGTGTTGTGCAAATCGTAGCTTCTAAAAAACAGAAAGATGATTTCAATTGAAACAAAGCAAGAAATCATCAGGAGTGAAAGTTGACAGAAACTTCCTTGTCAAAGGAGGAGAGGTTCAGGAGTTTACCAACACTCACTATCCAAACATAGCTGAGGCCAACAGTATCAACGATCTCTACAATGACACCCTTGCCCATCATTTCCGACATGTGTTGAAGAAGAGAGAGAAACAGACCACCTTGGACATGTTTTTCAAGAAGCAAGCTGCCAAAAAACAAAGGATGGAACAAGAGCAGTTTACCCTGCAAGCTCCGGTAGCCTCTTCTGAATCTGACTCCGATTAAAAAACAATAAAAAGAGACCTGCTACAATGTATAAAAAGTCTGTATCGGTATGAATATGTGAAGAAAGTGTTCTTCCACCTCCTCACAACATCTGACTACCCGGCATAATTAGTGACTGCTCCATTTTCATTTTTTTTATGGTACAGTACAGTTATTTTATGCTGTGGAACGAATTATATGTTTTGGCATGTATTTCTATGGAAAAATGCGTTTCGTATAACGGACGTTTCACTTAACGGACGTGCACCTGGAACGGATTAAGTACGTTGTACGAGGCACCACTGTATTAGATATGGTTTTAAGCTCAGATTTTAGAGCACCACACCACACCTCATACCGAGCAACTAAGATGGATCAAAGCAATTTGTATATATAAAGCGGCCCATGACAATAAGTGTATTAACAATAAGGATGAATTGTCTCTATCCCTAGCGTGGCAAATGCTTATATATGACGGAAAAAATTCTATATAAATGAAAAACTTTTATATCGGAAGAATGTGCATGCCTATTGATGATGACAGCTGCAGGATTCATGCCTTTCATTGATCGAATCTCTTTCAAATTTTGTATTCCATTAAATGATTTTTTACGTATTTATGTTTTTTTCACCTGATGAAGAACCTTAAATTGGTTCAAAAATGTTTGTGGGAACTTTTTCTTGATAATTTTATTTAATATCGCACCGTAAAGGTTTGTAGTTGTTTAAATTTAATATTAAATAAATTCTAATATATGAATTAATTGCAACGAAGTTTTGAATTTTTAGTAAAAATTATAATATTTCAATTTTTAAGATTTAAAATCCAATAAATGAAAACTAAAAAGACTGTTGCAAAATTTAATCAAAAGGAAGTTTGTGTAAAATACAAATTTCTGAACATTTTTGCACAATAATTAGCAATCTTACTCTTGAACAATTTGGATATAAACTTCTACAATGAAAGATTTTTATAAAATACATTAACAAACTCATTTAAATAAAAGTTGAAAATTTGTATTGCTACAGTATAAATTATTAATGTTAAAGAATTTTATAACAAAATTTTAATAAATATTTTTCCTTTTTTTCAGATTTATTGTATGCTAAGAATGACCTGTTTTAATACTTCGGAACATTCTTTAGGCATGTTTTGCAAAACGGAATTAAAATCATTTGGATATTCCCTCTGCACGCAGTTAACCAAATGCCGCAACTGCAGACTAGTCTCGTTTGTTATATGTGGAGTAGGCAGAACCATCCCGATTATCTTTAAAACCTGTGGCAAATTTTGAAATATTTCTTCACAGTGTACAACAAAAAGTTCATTTATACAGTTAAAAATTGTACTATTCTCTTCAAAGTCTGTAGTTAAAGGTAAACATTGCAAAAAAACTGGCAAAACTTGTTTTAAGGGGACCCCTTCTCTGTTCGTCATAATCAGTCGAGCAATGGCACCACAGATATTATCTTTCGCACGTGCATCTGTTTCCTTCGACATCATTGTTGAGAGCCCTTGAAGTATTACAGGATATTGTCTGAAGAGACTTTCGCCAGCATTCTCTGCAAGTACGCCAATTCCAAAGGCAGCATTACTTCTCACTTCTTCAGATTTATCTTTAATACTTTCTAAAAATGTTGGCAAAATTTGCAATGCAAATGGTACAATACTCCCCTTTTCTAAGTTTTTTATTGTTTCTGCAATTATTCCTATAGCGAAAGATTTATCAGCTATCAAATGTGACTTTTTAGCTTTCATAAACAGAAGTGGTAAAAATACCGATAAGTATGGCATAAATTCTTGCGAGGGTATTAAACTAGCCATTGTCGGAATTAAGTCGCCTGCTAATTCAATTAACACATTATCATATTCTGCAACATCATCATCATCTTCCTCACCGTCATCGTCATCACCCTGACAAGGTAACTTCTGCTTAAAAGCATCTTTTATAATAGTAAATATTGTCACACAATTATTTCCAAGTACTGTTTTTCCACATTCTTTTAAAATGTCATTTAATGTCTCCAATGCTGACAAAACAACCATTCGCTCTCTTTCTTCTGTTACGAGTGTGATCAACATTGCCACGACCACTTGTGATAGTTTGTTTGCGATTAAATGATGTTCTTCATTTCCACTCTCTTTGGCCACAGCGAGTAATGACAGACAAATTTTCCCAACAGCAAGTTCGGCAGATTTTCTTATTTCTGCATTAGGATGGTCGATTAATTTTTTTAATTCTTCAAAGCACTTCTCAAAATATGGTAAAAATACAACACCAACATTTTCGGCAATTTCTCCCAATGATGAACAAGTGTCTTCCTTTTCTTCAAGATATGCATTTTCGATGTTATATTCGGCAATATCAACATCCTCCTCCTCATCTTCTGAACCGATATCCTCTTCGTTATCATTATCTAAATCATCAAAGAGCATAAAGCTGCCATTTGCTTCATTTGTATAACAAGGAACAATGCCTTCTGTTGATAATAAAGAATCGATCATATGTTCGAGTATTGAGGGCAAATAGGGAGCCATATCAGACTTCAAAACACAAGATACCGAAGCAAATAAACCATAAACACTTCTCCTTAAATCTGGATCATGTATTTTATCAATCATTTCTAAACCAAGTTTAATGCATTCGTGTGACATGGCAATATCACTCGGTTCAACAGTTCTAATTAATATGCCTAAAGTATCAATAGTCTGAACTTGCAAAGAGGAAACCGAACCACTTTGATAGCCACTTATTAAGGCTTTTAAATGTTCAACAACTGTCGGAAAGTAAGGACCCATAGCACCTTTCACAGCACTAGCAACTGCACCTATTGCACTGATAACTAACTCATGAATGCTGGCCAAATGCACAGATGTCAAAAATTCCATAAGTCTCTCCATAAGTGTAGGAAGATATGGTATCAAATCATCATCTAAATTTTCACAAAATGTTTCTAGTGCATAAAACGACCTTGTTAAATTTGGTAAATTAACTTTTCCTTCTTGTAATGTTTTACAAGTATCAAAGAGAAATTGAAGCAGCAAAGGCAACAGGTCAGCAATATATTTATTGATATCTGGTTGAAGAAATTCTGCAAACTGTCCGAATGTAAATAAAGCAGAATTTCTTACAAGTATGCATTCATCTATAATACCACGGCATACTATCTTTAAAAACGAATCCAAATATTCATCTTTAATATACTCCGAGCAACCTTCTACCATTACTGCAATTGCTATGTATGCAGCCTTCCTTGTAAACACATCGTCACTTGATAAAGCCGGTTCAACAAGCTTTAATAATGGCAAAACTACTCTTTCGGGTGGAAAATGTAATGCCATCGTATCTATCACTTGTGCTGCAAAAGTGGACGGCAACTGACTACTACAATCATCATTTTCTTCGTCATCCGACAGATCTTGAGGTTCGCACATTATCACAAAAAGAATGTTTAATATATTTTCAGTTAACTTCTTCTTCAGAATGACTTTTTTCTTCATCTTTATTAACCATCTCATAATAGCTAGCGATTTAACTCTTAAGCTATCACCCAGATTCTTATCCGAAGCTAGAGATATGCACACGTTGTTTAAGGTCAGAACGTGCGGGGCTAGAATGGCAATTTCACTCTCAATCAATTCATCAAAAATTTCCATAGCCTCACAAGCCAGATCTTCGTCTGTGATGGACAAATCTTTAATCACGTTTATGACAAGTGGCATTAAAGTTTGGAACTTGTTCATCTCATCCGTTCCGACGTGCGCTATCATGTTAGTCATTATCTTAATTGAATATAGGGGTATCCACTTGTCGTCGCGGACTATTAGCGTGTTACCGAACAGAGAAAGAAATGACTTGAAGAAAGGTTTCAAGTGATGAGCAGAAGTGGATGTGACGGCATTTAAAACATACAAGCCAAGATGCTTCTCTGCGTGATTGCCACCGTGCACATACCGGTTCAAAAACTGGAATAACTCTTGCCAATTTCGATTTTCTAATTCGTGCTTGGCAATCGAAGCTATTAACTGCACAACACAGTTAATTACGGCTTTCTCGTTTTCCTTGGTTACAAATTCCAATAAGCTGACCTTCAAACTATTCTTTAACTGCTGATCCAGTTGCTCCCACTGTTTCCTTTTGCTAAGCTTTCTTCTTAATAAAATTGCTGAATATTGTCGGACCTGAACATTCGTAGAAGACACTAGTATGGTGCAAAGGGAAGGAATGATAGAATTATCTCGAAAGTGTGTTTTAAGCTCTTCCGTTGCTCTCTGTATAACTGCGTTATCGGGAACAAGCAATCTTAGCAATATGTCTTCCAATATTTCAATCATTTTTGTTTTGTAAATTTAAATCATAAAAATATCAAAAAAATAAAACACTCACGGCGACGAACACGTGGTGTCGTTGACGGATTACGTCATTCACAATTTTCAGACAAATAAAAAAACAAAGCGTGAAACGTGTAGCCCAAATACAGCCAAAAAATAAAACTTTTGCAAAACGTAATAAAAATGAATCTAAATCTTGAATTAATTAAAAGTAGATATAAAAATTTTAATTAAAAAATTTACCTTTGAAATTATTAACTTTAAGAATTAATAATTTAAATTTACTGTTATATCGTCGCTCATCAATGACGATAAGTACTTGAAGAAGTAAGTTTTTTCAGTAAGTGCCGTTTTAAAATAGGTGCTACGGTTGGTGTTCCGCGAATGTGCGCTGAGTTCCTACATCTGTTGACTAGGCACAGATGCAATTACAGAAGCATTCGTTCGTTTTACGTTTGTTTGTGCGTGTTTAAAATGCCGCAATTAAAAATCCCGCCGATTGTGAAGTACGCGCGGTGATTCGTTTTTTTAATGCAAAAGACGTGAAAGCGGCTGACATTCATCAACAGATTAGTGAGATGTATGGAAAAAAACATTATGAGCGATGAGATGGTAAGAAAATGGGTTAGAGCATTTAAAGATAGCCGTACTAATGTCCATGACGAGTAGCGTAGTGGGCGACCGTCTGTCATTACTGAAGACTTGATGCAGAAAGTTGTTGCAAAAGTTCGAGAAAACAGACGCTTTACGATTTCGTCATCCAAAACAAAAAGCGTGGGCAATCTCAGTAAGGGGATTGTTTTGCTTCATGACAATACCCGTCCACACGTGGCTCAACGAACCTGAGATCTATCACATCTTATGACTAGGAACAACTTGATCACTACGTACAGCCCTGATCTAGCGACTAATAACTTGTTCCTCCACTTGAAAATGCATCTAGGCAGTCAGCGCTACGACGATGTTAAAACGCCGTGCGGCATTGGTCGACAAACTAGGCGGCAGGTATCTATCATGATGGAATTCAGAAGCTGTGAAAATTACCTTCATATTGGAGAAATTATGTTGAAAAGTAGATTAAGGTACAGGCTTTTATGTAAGAATAAAATTATTTTAAAAATTACAGTTATGTTTTTTTAATATCAAAACGGTACTTACTAAAAAAACGTGCATTGTATATTCATTCTTTCATAAATAGAATCATATCGCATTATTTCATATTTTAAAACTTTAAAATTTAATTTAAGCTTACGTAAAATGTAAGAATCGTGCAATTCAGACATTATATCTTCAATTCCAAAATGTATATGACTGTATAAGTTTTCACTGAAGATAAATGGAAATATTTTTTCTTCTCAAATTTCTTTCATGCCATAAAGTTCAGATTGCAATTTAAGTAATTTCACTAAAAAAAAAGTCCTTTGTACTGAATTTCTGTAATAGGAATCATCAACATAACTACATCCCGCTTACTATTTCGGCACCATTGAAACTTAGAATGTAGTTGCGTAGTTGCGCTGACTGTTTTCAGCTTGTAAAACTATTTAAATCCTATATTATGGGACATCCATCAATTAAATGTACAGCTTTTAACACTTTTGATTTCCTGCCTGTTGTGTATAATGATGTACAGTACTTTTGGCAAACAATTTCTCTCCTGTAATTGCGTGTACAATACTTTATGGATTCTTCAGTCGTAAAAAAATTACTTTGAAAAGTTCTGCAAATATTTTCTAACTGGTAGTTTATTCGCATGACTAGTAAGGAAGCTTATAAGAACACATACTTACACCACTATCGTATCATATCCACGTGGAGGATGTCTGGATCCGTCTCCATCGTGTACATTGATACACCTTTCGCCACCTCCTTCTCCTTAAACTTTACGCGTAATTAATGGACTTCCTCTGACTTGTATATTAAGTAAATAAAGTGTTTGTTTTGTGAATCATCATCATCATCATCATTATTCTACCATTTCTATTTATGGTGTAGCCTTCCTTAAATAGTCTTTCTTCATTTGTGTCTGTTTGCCATTCTCCAGGTTGTACCTGCTTGTTTCCTTATGCCATAGTTTTCTTAAATATTGTATTTAATATACAGGAAAATGAGCATTTATAAGGTCATGTATAATACAATAATCTGAAGTTTCTGTAATAAAATTGAGAATATTGTAAAACGTCATGGTCTTTCAAATTAAAGATATTAATTAAAAAAACCATCTCAATTAATTTGTGAAGAATTCGTATCATATAATTAATTAGTCTTATTTGTTTAATAGAAATAATAATTATTTATTCATTCTTAAGAATAAGCACTGTTGAATTGTAAATGAATAAGGCCGAAGACATGCTATTGCGAATATTTAAGATTATAATAATCGCTATATTTGAAAAATCTAGCTGTTACGTTTATTAGAAACCTCAAATAATCACTTTAAAATATTTTTAAAAGATAAAAAGTATAGTTTTATTATTAAACATAAGTCTAAAGTTTTGGTAAACTGATCTGAATATAGACAAAGGCATGGCGACAAACTGATTTCTATAGTACACTAAAAAGCCTCAATAAGTTGTTTATCACTTAAACAACATATTGTAAAGTTCATGTATATTTACTATTTATGTATTCCATATTAACAATTTACATGCCAATATATTTTAGAATCTTTACATGGACCTATATGTGTATTCTTAAAAAAGCGAAACTGGGTTTCAGTAAAGGAAAACAGTATAACTAGTAATATATTGAACTCTCTGTATATTACTAGTTAAACTGTTTTCCTTCCCTATTGATTACTGATTATATCCTAGTCCACAACAAGCCCAAATTCATGGAATTTTTGGGACACATTGTGGACTAGAAAAAGTTAACCCAGACGAAATAGGGCCACATGCTACAATGTATGGGCATCCCTGCAGTAATTCGTCTCTATCTCCGTTAATAAACCGTGAAATATGTTTATAAATGGAATATGGAGTTTGTTCAAAATAAATTGTTTATTTTAAATGAGTGTGAACTGCATAAAATATATGTATATCATCTGGTTAAACATATTTGTGTTTTGTATGTTTTTTAATTGAGTTTAATTATCAATTTCTCTTTAAAAACTCACTTAAAATTAATTTATAAAACACCAGAATTCATACTTAAATATTTTTACCTGGATTTTTCTTTCTTTTTTTATATAACATTACAAAAAGTTCATGTAAATTATAATAACAAAAGCGCCCTCTTAATTGTTGTTCAATATGTTTAAATCAATGATATATATATTTACTCGTATTCTTTAGTAAGTTCATTACACTTAACATTTTTGTAAATATTTCATAAATTAATGCTAATAAAATTAGTATTGATAAAAAATTAATAATAAAATAAATAAATAAAATACTCCGCTCCGCTCCGCATCAACTTAAGCTTCCTCCCCGAAACAGACTGATCATGAAGACTAAATTTATTTTATATGTATAAAAAGAAATCATTATAAAAAACCTGAGAGTTTTTCATAATTTATCGTGTTAAGATATACAAAAGTCAGGCATAAGTGGTAAAATATTTTCGGATTTTTATTTAATCTCAGCCATTTTTTTTTTAAACCTTTTCCGCCATGCGGGCACTAAGAAGGCTTTATCAGAGTCCATTACGAATTCGCTTATACCAAAAATTCGGCGGCCGGGTTTTGAAAAATGATACCCGTGCGGATTCGATTTCGAATCCCCAGAGCGGTAGACTGTCACCTTAACCGCTCGGCCATCATAGTAGATTTTTGGCTATATTTATATATTTTGTCTTTACATTTACGTCTCTAATTTTTATTTATAAAATTTTTGTAAAACATTAAATTTATTAATATATAATAATAAAAATAAAAAACAATTTAAATCGTATTTTGGGCGATAATTTGGCTAAATGTATAGATGGTTTTCTTTACTCGCGAGCACGCGCTATTACTGTTTTACGTCTGTTTCTGGTGGCCATTTTTGTGTAGGAACAAAGCCCGTAAAGAAACACGTAACAATTTTAAATAAACGGTATAATTTTAATTAATTTAACGTATAAGGGAAAGAAAATGTCGCAGAGACACACTAGAATCGATATCGGAGTGCAGCCGAATGCCAGAAAAAGGTAAGTGAAAGTTTAGTGTTACGCCTCTCGTTAATGGCGCATTCGGCTTTACGTGTATAGACGAATAAATACGTACGATTGGTATAAATTTCCTTTAAAAATGCATTAATTCGAAGTTTAAGTTGTTATTATATCCGTTCTCTATGCCCACGACGTGTTTTTTTACATTATTTAATTACGTTTTAATCGATTCGAATGAAAGCAGCATGTGGCGCAATAAGCCCCTGGTGCTTATTGCGCCTGCTAAATATAAGTGCAATTACCTTCCTTTGTGCTTAATTGTGATTGGTTTAAGTGATGAAAAAAGTTGAAAATAAGCAATTAGAATTCGGATTCTATTCTCATTTACTTTTAATGCTACATTTTATTATAAATTGAAAGTATTTTTTGTGAAAAATCCATGTTAATTGGTGGTAATAACCAGTATTAATTACTAGATGCAAATGTGGGTACCAAATGTGTGTTGGGTATGTTTTCATAATTAATTGGTAATTATTTTTAAGCAATATAACAACTTCATTAATTTTTTTGTGAGTGAAGTTTAATAAAAGCAAAAAAAGACACCATTTTACCCGAAAATACAACTGGAACTAATGCCTTCTTTATTGCTCGGTTGGATCTTGCCCAAAAGCAAATTTTCAAATTTGCTTTTGGGCAAGATCCCACCTTTGGGCTTGTTTCTTTGGCATTTCGGTTGCGATTTCTCGAATTCAGAAGTGTTGTGCTGGCAACGTCCATTTGTCGGCAAACTAGTAATGTCATACTTGTCGCTTCTTGACGATAACCTTGTTTTGCTCTTCGCTTTGTGAGGTTTGTTTATAAAATGACAGAGAGCACATTTAGTTTATGATAATGGCACCATAATTGACTGTAAAGCTGTTTTGGATTTTGATGTGTATTTTAATGCCAAAAGCAAACTTTATATATGAAAATAAAGTTTGTTCTATACTTTCCATGAAAAAAAGGGACTTTTTACGAGATGTTTGTTTACATTATGGAAAAAAATAATTTGATTATGGGTTGTTCATCTACTAATCAATTGGTGGGTTGCACAATTGTTCATGATGGTCGAAAACTGGGCTTTTCTTCATTGAGAACCCCACAAATGTGATGACTGTGAAAGAATAAGTGAGCTCAATAATTGCATTTTATAGAAAACTAGTAGCCCGGGACGCCCCCTAGTGGGCGTTTTAGCAGTATTACAAATTCCTATGAGGCATGTTTAAAGCAGCGGCAGCTTTACGTTCCTCCACAGTGGCGTATTTCTTTGGTCGTGCCTACAGTGGCTAGCCACTGTAGTCGTGCCATGAAAGGTTTCTATTATTATATTAAAAAATTAGCTTAACTATTTCAAACCTTATCGTTTTATCGTAGCGGTTCAAATCTATCCGGTTTTTCGTTATTCGCCTCCTAGTGAACATTACAGGCATTCTGTGACAATAATAAATTCCTATTACAAATATAATGAATTATTTATATTGTTATATTGACCAAATAATAATTTATTGGCCAAATGAATAATAATAATTTATATTGTTCATTTAAATAATAATTAAAATTGTTAATTTAATTTGAATGTTTTAAATATGACACACGATAGGGGCGCCTCTAGTGTCCGTTATCAAACGGTTACGGGACAGACGGACAGTTGAATGGGTTATATATATAGATGTGCATCTGAAACATGGTGTGCTCATTATCTTTAGTGCACCTGATAATGCTTTACTATGTGATAGACTACCAGGAGTGTTATGCAATAATTTTTTTCATCACTGTGAGTGAGACAACCTGTTATTCTTACATGTCATTGATAATCAGTTCATCTTATGATGCTTCCTGTGAAGATGGCTTGTGTAAACCCACTTTGATGGTCTAATTACACACAAATTTGCTTGATTGCCTATTGCCAACTGCTTCCAGTAATCAAGCACTTACATGCTTCATTATTGGAAGTGGTTGGCAATAGGCACCTCACCCTATTTCTAGAAGTAAAAAAATAGAAAGTTTTATTTAATTAAAATCATATCTTTGTATTTTTTATCATTTTAAAACAGTATGGCCAGCAATAGAGGGAAAGTTTAGTATTAATGGTAAGTAGAAACATGGTGTTGGAAATGCTTTCGTTTGGAAAGAAAATTGATAAGTTACGCAGTTTGTCACAATTTTCAGGTGCTATGGAGCTTAGCAGAAACAATTTGAAACTGAATCTTTTTATTTTTCAGTTTTAGGGTAATTTGGAGTCCTGGACTGTCTCTCCAGGTATTTTCGTTAGTTGAATGGTGACACAAACCAAAATATATTGCAAAATTGTTTTGAAAGTAATCAAATACTTTTGTAGTCTTGAATTTCTTTAGGAATGTGGTAATAATGTGTCAAATGAAAATTTGCAGAATCAAATTACCATTGGAGGAGTTCCAATAAGGCTTCATATATCTTAAAAGTATTTTGTAGTGTAAAAATGAGAAACATAACAAAGTTGGTTTAAGTTAAGGTTTCTCATTTCCTGGTCTTTTGCTTGTCCCAGGATTCCAGGAAAAGAGTGAACTGTTTCCTGGGATTCTGGCAAATCCCAGGATATAATTAATTATTTTTAAGATATAAAATAAATTTTAAAATCAAATGATATAATTATTTTTCATTTTCCAAAGTAATTTAAATGTTCTGCAATCTTCAAAATCATAATATTAATAATCCTGTGTAAAATATGTATAAAAAATTAGTTTTGACTTATGTAGACATTTTCACAAATAGAAAAAATTTATTAGTTTGTTGGAAATTGCTTACAACAAAAATGCCTTTGAATTGAGTTGAAAATTTAAAGAAAAAATTGAACTTAGATCAAACTTCTAAGTTAGAAGGTAATTTTTGTTATTTAAATAAAACATAATACAAAATATTGTAAATTTTTGNGTTGAAAATTTAAAGAAAAAATTGAACTTAGATCAAACTTCTAAGTTAGAAGGTAATTTTTGTTATTTAAATAAAACATAATACAAAATATTGTAAATTTTTGATTTTAAAAAGCAAAGATGATCAGTACTCTGATCAATCAATTCTTATTTTACTAAAGAAAAGTCTTGCTACCGAGAATGCCCTTTTTGATTAATTGATGTGAATGGAATGGTGTTTAATGCATTTAAGAGAAGACAGATGTTATGTTTTTTCACCTGTAGCCTGGAAGATTTCTAGTTCATTATTGAGATGTGTTACAGTACTTCTTTTGGTGTCTAGTATTCTTGATTTGTCTATCTCGGCTGCTTTAATAGCGGAATCAAGCTCATAGCCTGATAATTCGGCAGTTTATTTGGCTTTAATAATCAGGTTTATGAAGAAAAACTTCATAATTGCATACTTCATGCTTGTTTATATCCTTGTCCAATTTACACAACCTGGCATAATGCAGTTATTGAAACTACTGGATATGGTTAAAAATTAAAACAGCATAAACACAATTATACCAGATATTACAGATTTTGATATGTAAAGAATTTTCAAAGTCCTGTCACAAGTAGGCCACGTATTGATTATTGACAGTCTGTGACGTGCCGTAATGAGCAAAAATTTAAAAAAACTAATAAGCAGGCTTAAAATTAATAAATACAAATGTATTTTGATGGTTTGAGTTAATTATATTTTCTATTTGCAAAATTTCCTCAACTTTAACATAAAATAAAGTGAATTTGTAAGAAATTTGCTGAATTTCCCAGGATCCCATTGGAGAAACCCTAGTTTAAGTATTATTTTTGAAAAAATTCATTTTGAGTTTGTTGCATTATGTATGATAATGATACACTTTCAATGATAAATTATTCAATTTCGTTAGAAAATAAAGTATTTGCTCTTTGAACATTGTGAAAAGAAATTAGTTGCAATGTATTGGAAAGTAATGCCTCTTTTCATAGTAACATGAAACATTTAGAAAAAATTTATTTAATGTTTTTTTTTTATTTTTAAACAGCTTTGAAATACTATATAATAAACATTTTATCTTGTTCTATTATAATGAATACAATCAAATTTCATGTAAATGCTGCTATTCAGAACATAAAATTTTTCCTAATATATTTTAATCACTTGTTTTTAAGAACAGTTTTTGCTCTGAAAATTGCCGTTTATGTAAAATTTAAATATATACAGTAGAGCGTCGTTTATCCGAAAGAATTCCAGTCGGCAAATTTAAATTTTTGCTAGTGCTGTGGCACTGCAATCTTTGGCTATATCTTGAGCTACTCCAATATTTTTTTGTTGATGTGTGTTTTGTAGATGGCAGCACTGGCACTTTTCTGTGGTGTTTTTCTCAGAACTGTGTGTCATGTTAAATCAAACGTTTTTAATACTAGATTAACTTCTAAAGTATAATTTTTTCTGTTTTTATATTTTTCAATATATTTATTTTGTTTGTAAAAAATAAAGAAATAATTTTTAACGATACAATAGCCACAATTATTATTTAAAAAAGTTTACATTAGGCTTAACATTGATGAAAATCCAACGTGAAGTGACACGCAACAGAGAAAAATTTCAACATGGGATAGGTTAATGTATTTTTTTGTACATAATTGGTTATCTGAACAACCCCAGTCCCCAATTGATTCGGATAAACGATGCTCTACAGTAGTATTAAATTAATGCTTTTCTTAAGGCATTTGTATTAAAGAAAAACAGGAATGCAATAAAACTGATATAAAATATGTACTGAATGTTAAGTAAAATGATCCAAAGACTACATTCTGTAATTTATAGTTGAAAGAGTTTAAAATTAACTGCTTGTGATTAAGTCAAATGAACAGTTAAAAAAATATAGCAAGATTCTGATTTAATAGAGTAATTATAGAATTAGAGTATCTGCTATTGCTGCAGGTTAAACTGGCTAGTTCACTTTCTGATCTTGTAGGGAAATTATATATTTTGAAAAATGGATGAAATAACTTAGAGTAAAAATTTAATATTATGACAGTGTTTCAGAGAGACTGCAACTCTGAATTTAGACTGATTGTGCC